TCATTGTCAGACTCCGCCACTGTGAAGTACTCTGGGACTCTAGCCTGCACGAAGGGCGCTGTATAAATGCAAGTTGTTGTTATTGTTCTTCAGAAATCTCTTACATAAAGCAAAGGATTTCTGTTAAACACCTAACTGAGCACGAATAGATATTAAAAACACTTTCTTCATATTCGTTCTATTTAAATTAAAATTTATATAATAACCTAATTTATATAATAACTGCAGATCAATAACTACAGGTAAAACTGAATTCCTCGCTGAGATCCTCCCTTCCAAAAAATGGTGCAAGTATATTATTGAACCATTAATTTTTACCTTCAGTCTCACTTGAAGCATTGCCATTTTTTATTTGTTCTGTATCTACAGTTACATTTCCTGCTTTGTAAGTGCCACTAGTTTTTATCAATTCATACTTAATTTAAGATTCCAGCATTTAAAAAAAATCTGGATAATCCCCTTTTAATGTTTCCTCTAATTAGAATCCCAATTCTGAAAGGCTTTTCTTGTATCTTATTTTACATGTGGCATTCTGTTATCCAACTTCTCTCTTCTTTTTGAAATTAAGTGTGAATTGCTAAAAAAAAATGACACAAATTTGATAGACCGTAACAACATAAAAAATAGTGTTTCATCATGTTCTCTATGCCCATGTACACTCTGCTTGGTTTGGGTGCTCGATGTGTGTGAGGATGATTGTGGATGACTTATCCTATCCTTTGTCCTATTCCTATGAAAAATACTTTACTGCCACCACATGCTCTGCTCATTTTGAAATTTGCTTAGAACTACTCTCGTCAAAGCATTGGCGTATAAAGAGCCTTTATTTTGATCTCTTCCAGACTTCAGCCATTATTTATATTTTACACAAGTTTTTTTTTCAGTGTACATTGATGCGTGTTTCCTTATCTGTAAGCCTAGAAACATACAACAACAACTTGATGCAGGGTAGCGTTTCAGGGCGCTTGGAAGTCTACAGTGCCAAAGTAGGCCACTCGTCCCGTCGAGTCCGCATCGGCTCACAGAACAAGGAGCTCAATTCAATCCCACCACTCCACATTATCCCCCTATGTCTTCTAGCCACTCTCTTTCATATGCCCATCTACTTCAGTCTTGAAAACCACAACGGACTCCACTTTCGCCACTTTAATTGGCAGGGCATTCCACATCCCAACAACTCTCTGGGTGAAAAAATTCCTCCTAAATTCTCCTTTCACTATTTCTGTGGCTATCTTATAACTATGTCCTCTTGTCACTGACTTCTCTATCAATAGAAATAACCTTTCTGCTCCATTCTCTCCTCATAAATACAGCCCTTCATTTCCAGAGCGATTCTCATAAACCTGCCCAAAACTGAACGTAGTACTCCAGTTGTGACCTAACAACAACAACATTGGCCTAACCAATGATTTGTACAAACTTAGTATTGTTGCTTTACTTTTGTTCGCTTTGCCCCTGTGCATAAACCCATCATATTCTTAGCTTTCTTTGCAGCATTTGCCACTTTCATTGACTTGTGTACCTGTACTCTGCACTTCCTTCAGCCTCTCAGCCCCCAGGCTCTGGAACTCCAACCCCCAGTGCCTTCGCCTTGCTTCTTCCCTTTCCTCCTTCAAGGCCAATCTCAAGACCTTTCTCTTTGACCGTGCCTTCAGCTCCCCTCTCGACTCTCTTCCCCCTTCTCGCTCCCTCCCATCCCTCCCCTCACCCTGACCATTTCCCCCCTCCTCGCTCCCTCCCTTCCCCTCACCCTGACCATTTCCCCCCTGCTCGGGTCATGACCCAACTGTGCAGCGCCTTGGGACGTCCTCCTGACGTGAAAGGCGCTTTATAAATGGAATCTTGTTGTTGTTGTTGTTGTTGAATCTCCTCATATTTTGCTTCATTAAACCTTTTAGTACAGTGTCCTTTTTGATCCTTATCCCAAGGATCTGTTCCTCATTCCCTTTTTAAATCTATTATGGGAGTACCCATCTCCTCAGTGAAAACTGAGGTAAAATACTCATTAAATAGCTTTGCCATCTCCTTCTTCTCTGCCACTGATTTACTGCTTTTGTCCTTAAGTATCCCAATACCTCCTGAGCTATCTTTTTACATTTTAAAAAAAACTTTAGTTTCCTTTGATATTGTCCAATAATCTTTTTCATGTTGTAATTTCCCCTTTTTCTGCTTTTCAATGCCTTTGATATATTTTGTAGTTTTCCACTGAATTGATAGACATGTATTTTGCATACGTTTCTCTTGTTCCTTATTATCATTTTTATTTTTCTTGAAAGCCATGGTACCCTATGTTTTGTTGCATCCCCCTTGCTCCTTGATGGAATGTGTTTGCTCTGTACCCTTTCAATCTCACCTTTGTCACATTGCTGTTGTGCTGTTTTATGTGCCAATACCTGTATCCGATTTATCAGTGCTAACCCCCCTCTTTATCTCTACAAAATTGGATTTTTTTCCAGTGGTGTACCCTTAACTCTAAGTCTTGCCTTTCCCTGTATATTCTGATATGGAATCTAATTATATTATGATCCTGTTCCCCTACCTCCAGATTAGTTACTTGTTTCATTTCATTGCACAAAACTAAATCAAGCACTGCCTCCTTCCATGTTGGGCTGTACAGAAATTGCTAAAGAAAGCAGTCTTGGTTGTATTCTAAAAATAAAACTCAATTTTGCCCCTCAATACCTTCCTTATTCCAGTCAACCTTGGGACAGTTGAAATCACAATTATTATCATTCTGTTACAGCAGCTTTCTAAACTCCCTGCAAATCTCATCTTCAATCTCCTTGCTCACTATAGAGTGGGCTGTATTGCAATCCTAAAACAGCAATTACTCTCTTTCTTATTTCCATCCACAAGAACTCTTCTGCACGAATACCATTAAGGAGGCTCTGATTAATAGTACCACCCTTCCATCCAACCTACCTTCTCGATCCCTTCTGGAAAGAATGTTCTCAGGAATGTTTGGTTCCCAGTCTTGCCCATCCTGAAGTCATATTTCTATTAATGTGATTACATTGTATCTCCTAATCCCAACCAGGGTTTTAAATTGAGCCATTGTATTTCTAACATTCTGTACATGAGTATATAAACACTTTAACTTGTCCTACTGTGCTTTATTTTTCTAGAGTTTGAATGTCAGACTTGAGCAAAAGATCAATTAGATGATTTTTATTATAAAATATCCGGTTGAGTTGTTAGAATAGGCAGTCAGGATATGAGAATAGCATTCAAGTCTTGGGTGGGTTTTGAGAAAAAAAGAGCTAGGAATTATAGAAGGAAAAGACATGCTGGGCATGGAAAAGCACATCAAGTTTTTTTTGTGAAAGTTTAGATGTAAGCATTCCATTTCATATGAGATAATAAGGTTATCAAAACATGAAAAAATGTCTTGTGGAGTAAGCATTGTGTGAGTTAATTTCTGATGTGTTTTAAAAGCTTTTAGGCTTCTCAAGTTTAACCAAGATTTTGTTGCCCTATCAATGAAATATGCAGGAATTAATGGAGCCCTGTAGCTTAAAAATAATTTGGTAACTCAATGCACTACCATTTGTGGGACACTGCTGTGTGCAATTGGCTGTCGCGTTTCGTCCACAAGATATACAGTCAATTCACTTTACAGTATATTCTGTGAAGCTCTTTGAGATGTCTCGAAGATATGATAAGGCGCTATGTCAAATTCAAGTATTATTATTAATTACATTTTCCCTCTTTTAAACACTTTATTCCTGTAGTTGTAGGCAGTTTAATAACATGGAGGGCACATGAAAACTGTCCAGTCCACATCACTTTCACTGAGATGGAAACTCAACAAACTGATTTTGCCGTTATCCATAACTTTCTTTAATAATTAAAAGAAACACGTCATCTTAATTTCCAAGCCATCCTCATTGTGTAGTCCTGCAGAGTTGTGGTTAGAGGACTCGACTCGCAAGCGAGAGCACCTGGGTTCGATTCTCGGGCAATGTGAAAAGTTAGGCAAGTTTCCTTACTCCACAAGCCTCTGTTTACCAGTCGTAAGTAGGAACCTAGTTGTAAGTCAATTCGCTGATTGCTTTTCCGGGGATAATTATTTAAAAAATTATCAAATTATTAAAAAAAAATTGGTCATTCACTCCATGACTGTTTTGCCCACAAAACATAGTCAATTCAACAACAACAAAGTTATATTTGTATAACACCTTTCACGTCGGGAGGACTTTCCAAGGCTCTGAATTCACTTTACAGTATATTCTGTGAAGTGCATTGAGATGTCTTGAAGATATGATAAAATGCTATATCAAATGCAAGGATTATTATGACAGTCTGAGAGTTGTGAAAAGAAATGGTGGAGTGAGCGAAGTGCTTTTCACATCCTCCCACACGTACACATTTCTATTATGCATAATTTCATTCTCGGAATAGCAAATGCTTCTCCAAGAAAATGTAAATGTTGGGAATTTTCCTTTTTTGCTGTGATTATACAGGGTGACCAAAAAGTTGTTATATCTACCCTATTATCTAAAAACAAACAAAAATATCATAATTTCTTTAAGACTTATTAGATACTGTAATGGTATCACAATGTTTTTGGTCACCCTTTACATGTTAATCGATCAATCTTTTTAGAATGACTCCGTTGTTGATGCAAAATTCACCTGCATGTAAATTTGTAAAAATTCTAATAATAATTGCATTTTACATCTAATTATTGAATTTTACAATTTGTTTCTGAACATGACATTACAGAAAATTACTCTCAAAGGGCTGAAATAAACTTAATACATAAAACCTTTGGAGTTCTTAATCACAAATACTAGTGATAAGTATTTATACACATAGATTAATTTACAAAACATTTTCTCATCACTGTGGTGATGTGTATAATGCTGCAAGCAAGTATTATGAAAATTATAAATAAGTTGATTGGATTCTTTGGTGGAAATCGACTCTTTGGGTGAACACAAATTGGCCGTTTAAAAGTAATTAATTTCTAATTGCAAAGTTTCTGTATTTTCTCTTAGGAGAAACTATGAGAATTGCATCTGGGGATTTTGCAGATGATCCTTGCTCTTCTGTGAAGCGTGGGACAATGGTCCGGGCGGCTCGAGCTCTGCTATCTGCAGTAACACGTTTGCTGATTTTGGCTGATATGGCAGATGTTATGAGACTTCTAACTCATCTGAAAATTGTAAGTTTTTTTTAAAGTAACTTTAGGGAATTACAGCTTTTGAAATGTTAACATTTTATACACAGAATAAAATTCTTGTGATCAGCAGGCCATAGCTGGAAGACAAATGTTAGGGAAATGGATTACTTTCAGTTTAGAATCATCAGTGCAAATGCAATCTTATGAAGCCCTTCCCTATTAAATGCTTTTCAATGTTTTATGTAATATGGTATGTAATTATATTTACGATATTTATAGGTAGAAGAATCTCTGGACGCTGTCAAGAATGCCACCAATGAACAGGATTTAGCGAATCGTTTCAAGGAGTTTGGAAAGGAGATGGTGAAGCTGAATTATGTGGCTGCTAGGAGACAGCAGGTATGGTAAAGAACTTTCAGAGTTCATCTTGTAGAGTGTGCTGTTTTCCTCAAAGGATAAAAGATATCTCTCACTAAGCTTTGCAAGTCTATCAACTGCATCCTCACCAGGCTCCACTATCCCCCATCCCTCAGCGGATTGAGTTCAGGATCGTCCTAACTCATAAATCCCTTTATGGTCTTGTCCCACCTCTGCGACCTCCTCAAACCCTACCAACTCTTTCCTCTCAGGAGGACTGCTGAACTGAAAGGCACTATACAAATGTAATTTTTTGTTGTTGCTTCACGTCCCAAGCACCACCTGTTCCACCATGGCTGAAAGTTGGGCTTTCAGCGTATCTGTCTGCACTCTGGAGTCCTTTCAACTTGCCTCTTCCCAGTCCTCTTTCAAGGTTTGCCTTCCTCTTTGACCATGTTTTTGGCCATCTTCTCCACTCACAACTCCCTGGCTCCCATTCCCACCCCTCCACACTACCCCCAAACTCGGGCACAAATATTACTGTCCATCGCCTTGGAATGCCCTCCTAACGTGAAATATGTTGGCTCTCTGAAGAGGTTACCCATTCAAGCCTACTCCCTTCTCTGTTCCTCATAGCCTTTTTATTTGCAAATGTGTGTGTTTAAAAGCTACTCTGGATTGTGTTTCATCCATAATTTTAGTGTGTAAACCCTTTTGCGTAAAAAGAATGTGATATTAAGCATAGCATACATTAGCTGCTTAATCATCTGTGGGGGGTGGAAGGGGGTGGAGTGTGGCATCACAGTTGAGTCAATCCTGTTGATTCCTGTCCTCGTCTGATATACACTTGCGTTAACTTCCAACAGGAGTTACTGAATAGCAATTGGAAGCCGGAACCCTGACTGATTTCTCCCTCCCCCTGCTTCTAGCCCAGCTGTTTTTAGGAAATTTCTAACCCCCTAGCTGTTGGCCTGGATCAGATCAGCTCAACCAACACAAGCCAGGATAAGCACATGTGACTTTTTAGTCTATATGGCCTAGTCGGGTGGAACTGTTACCCTCTAATCCATAACTCAGTATAAATGGAAACAGAAACATGATTTGCCTACTCATTTATCCCTTCTTCCACTAACTGTGGACTTCTTCATAGCTCCTGTCAATTACATTAAATTATGAGCTACTCCAAGTTGTACTCTTCATTACAGGACAGGTCATGCCAGTTTCCTCCAACTCTGAGGTAGAAATACTCCTGCAAGGTTTATCCTTTGGGATGGGTTGTAGTTGCTGGCCAATAGATGAAAATGAGTCCATGCGTCAGTAAAGCCTGGGATTTGAACTTGGGCTGTTTGGATTAGATTCTGATGGTATTATCAATAGTGGTGCTGAATTATGCAGAATAGTGGTGCTGAGTTATGCAGTTTCAATTCAGTTCACTATCAAAAAATCACAATTATATTGTATTGATTGAGCACAATTTGTAAAGAAACTTTCATCTCAATGATGAAATGTAAGGTTTCAGAGAAGCTAATCTGTTTAAGACAAATAAGGATTCCTGAGAAAATGAAAGAATCTGAGGCAAAATATTCTGAATCTCAAAATTAATGGTCTTATGTAAAATGGAGCAAAAGTTATTTTTAAAAAAAAGTAGCACTAATTAGCTGATGATTTTTCAACTATCGCAAATAAAAGATCTAAAATGTAGCAGTGTGGGTGCGAACTTCTTAATTGGTACTAGAAAATTCATTAATTCATGAGTAATTGGATGAATGTGTAACATTCTGAAATTGACCAAGTATATTGATTGATGTTAATTAAATATAGCAATACTTTAGTGTTAAGAGAGCCTGGGCATATATGAATAGACAATTTGGTTGTTGCTGCTCTACAAAATGAAGATGCATATGCACTGCATTCACAGTATGCATTGCATGGTTTACTAGGTGAAGACCATATGTTTCAAAAGCAGTAAAGCAATGCCATGTGCTAATTAATGCAAGTCAATCTTTTTAATTTGTTGTGCCTGACAGTATACTCGTAAGGATATGGCATCAGTTGTGCATTCTTACACATGGAATTAAAATGAATGTCCCATTAGTACAAAAACAAGATTACATACTAATGTTGAGGACATAATCATACTAAGATAAAATGGTTATGTTAAATATGAAAATAAGTACATAAGTTAACAAGCATAGGTAGATAATAATAACCCTGGCATTTGAATTTGCGTCTTATCACATCGTCAAGATATCTCAAAGCGCTTCACAGGATATACTGTAATATTCTGTATATTGACTGTATTTTGTGGGCGAATGTGGTAGCCAATTTGGGCACAACAATGTCCCATAAACAGCCATGGAGTGAGTGACCAATTTTATTTTGAGGGATTTGTTGGCCAGGACACCGGGATAAATTCCCTTCTCCTTTTGAATACACTGAACTGTTACATGCTAAGTACAGTACAAGAGGAAAGATGCCTCACTGAGGAAGTAACAGGACTGAGGAAGTAACGTAAACAAGAATGCATATGACATCAGCAGGAAATTACAAATTGCCGGTGTTTATGCTCCACATGAGCCTCCTGCTGCCCTTCCTCAACTAAGCCTTCACGCGTAACCTTCTATTCTTTTCTCCTTCATGTACCTATCTAGCTTTACCTTAAATACATCAATGCTATTTGCCTCAACATTACCCTCATCTTTTCAAGAGAAAAGAGTCCAAGCTTTAGCCTTTCCTGATAGGTATAACTTCTCAGTTCTGGGATCATCCTTTGCATCTTCTCCAGTGCCACCGCATCCCTTCTATAATGTGGGGACCAGAACTGCACACAATGTTCTAAGTGTGGTCTAACCAAGGTTCTGTAGAAGTTTACCATAACTTCCCTGCTTTTCATTTCTATCCCTCTAGAAATGAACCTCAATGCCTGGCTTGCCTTTTTTATGGCCTTATTAACCTGCGTTGCTACTTTTAGTGAATTGTGTATGTGAGATCCCCTAGATCCCTTTGCTTCTCTACCCCATTTAGGTTTTTATTTTCCAGAATGTATGTGACTTCCTTATTCCTTCTACCAAAATGTACCACCTCACACTTTTCTACATTGAAATGCATTTGCCATTTAAATGCCCACTCACAAGTTTATTAATATTTTGCTGCAATTTGTTGCAGTCTTCCTCTGTATTAACTACTCCCCCCGTGTTGTCCGAAAATTTAGAAATTGTACTGCTAATTCCCGAATCCAAATCATTAATATATATTGTGAACAACAGTATTGATTTCCACTTTCTACAGATTTGGTAAACCAATCAATATCAGCCTGTAGCCTCCTGCACACTTACATCATCACTGTTAATATTTCAAGAATCTTGAATTGATTCTGTTGGAGTTCATAGAGTTTGGTGAGTATGGGTGCAGAGTTCTCAATTAGTTGCACTCATTTAAAAAGCAGCTTGATGCTATATCCCCCTTGTCCCCCAACTCTTTTAAACCAACACCCAGCTCGGGTGCAAACCTCAACTGGCCAGCACTTTAGGAAGCCCTCCTGACCTGAACGGCTCTGTTTAAATGCAATTTGTTGTTGTGATGGGAGGAATAGTAATGTGGAGCGGAGCAACTGAACAAGCTTGTTTAAAGTATGTATGTGCACAATGTGCAGTGGAATTTCACCCTCTCCTAATATTTGGTTGTCTTGTCCTACTTAGTTAAGCAGAAAAGTTAATGATGGTTCTTAAGTAACAATCAAAATCAAAGAGCCTCCGAGTGGCCAAAAGTTTAATGTCTTATCCCTACATTGAGAACCAATTTAATAATTTTGTTTAATTGCAGGAGCTGAAAGATCTCCATTGTAGGGATGAAATGGCAGCTGCCCGAGGTGCCCTGAAGAAGAATGCTACAATGTTGTACACAGCTTCGCAAGCTTTCCTCCGACACCCTGATGTAGCTGCTACACGAGCTAATAGAGACTATGTCTTTAAACAAGTGCAGGAGGCCATTGCTGGAATTTCAAATGCAGCTCAGTCTACCTCACCATTAGATGATAAACATGGTCATCCTGGCATTGGAGAACTAGCTGCAGCATTGAATGAGTTTGATGTAAGTACCTTTTTTTGTTGTTTTGGTCACCTGGGTGTCTGCCACATGCAAAAACCCATCATCTTGCTTGAAAGTAACTAAACCAAACAGAATTCCATGCATCCCACCTATATATGGAAATTCCAGAGATATTTGTTGGAATAGAATGCGGACTCTCTCCCTGGAGGGATGCTTCCTGCTTATCTAAAACCAGAAAGTATTAGGTGCAGGTTGGCAAGAGCAAAGGCTTGGAGATCCCAGAGTGTAAGCTGGGGTAGCTGCTGGCAAGTTATCACCACTGCTTGTCCAAATCGGACAACCCTTCCCATTGGGGCTTTGACTTGCAGGGTTAACGGGAAGAGTCCCTGCCCCCGCAGTGGTTCTACCCATTCAAATCCTGTTGATGAGGGAGCCTGACTGGCTATTGTCAGCAGGGCCCATCTGGCTCAGGAATTAGACTACTGAGACCGCCACAGAGGGTTGCCTCGACTGACATTCCACCTTGGACATGTCACCTTGGAGTTAATTTAGCTCCATGATACCCCACCTCAATTCTCCACCACCCCTCCCCCCCTCGGGTTTGAGTCCTCACTAGATGGATGATAGGTACCAGGAACTTCCTGCTTCCTGGTTGGCAATACAGCTTAGCATGAAATGCACGAGAACATTGGCACCATCTTTCTGTCCGCAGCTCGGGCACACTTCCCTTCCCATTGAACAATTGCTCCATTAGTTGGAGGTGTGGAGTTTAAGCAACAGTTGCTTGCCTTTCTGCAAACCAATCAAGATGGATTCCAGGTCCTGAATGTATAAATGTGGGTTTATGAACTTGGACTCTGCGTAATGCTTTCCAGCAGTTATCACCACAAGCCTCAGAGTTTCCTCATCAACTATCTGGTAGACATCTGCCTTCAGTGTGGTAGGAGGACCTTTACAGGACAGCTTGTGCCATGCTAGCCACTTCTGTTCTCGAATTCCAAGCCCAATGCCGCAGACCAGGCTTTCTCAGTACTGGCTGCTTAATCTAGGTCCTCATGTGAGGGGCTTTATCAAATAGATGTGCCCGTTGTGAAGCTGCCTCCACATCCAGGGTGCTTAGCAGCAAGTGACTGTATGTTGGAGCCCTTCCTCCTTGCAGCTGCTTTCCGTGTTTGCCACAAATCCACCTCCCTGCTTGATCCCGGACTTTGCAAATGGGTCGGACAGAGCCTCTGCACTGCATCAGCAAAGGGCCCAGAGCAGAGGGCCCAGAGTGAGCTATGTCCGGAGTGAGGTGAGGCCAGAGTAAGAAGGAATTGGGTGAGAGTGAGAATTAGGTGCAGAGGGGGAAGTAGGTGTAAGGTTGTAGTATATCTTCTAAGGTAGGAGAGCACGGGCGGAGCTGAGGCCTTACCGTGCATATGAAGCACAGCCCAGATGAGGAGCCACTCAGTCGGGAGTGGAGGTAGGAGCTGAGGTAAGTGACGGGGTGGGGCGGGCGCGTTTCACAAATTGACGTCACAGTTATATAAAAAAATTATTTAAAAAAACCAACAATGGCCTGGCTGCCACCGCCACTCGGCCATGGCCTGGGATGCTAAGCCTGCGAGCTGATGCCATCCTGCTGATCGCTCGCTCTCGGTCTCTGCGTGTGCATTTTGGCTGCTGCCCCGACCCGAGCCTCCCCCTCTATGTCTCTCCTCTCATCCCCCTCTATGTCTCTCCTTTCACCCCCCTCTATGTCTCTCCTCCCACCCACCTCTATCCACTACTCCCCCTCTGTCCTTCTCTCCCACCGCCCTCCCCGCCTTCTCTCTCTCCTCGACCCCATCACCACTTCCCTCTGATCCAGCCTGGGCATCCTCCGCCGGGCCCATTGTGGCTCCAGGCACTAGCTGTTCCAGAGCAGCAACCCCACGTGTCCCTTCACTCACTCCCTCCGCTCAAACCGTTTCCTTAAGGCAAACCCAACTCCCCCTTCCCTCATAAGTACCCTCCCCAACTCTCCACTCCCACCACTCTCCACAACCATCTCTCCTATACAACCCAAAATCCTCTCCACACCACTCTCTCCTCCCTCCCCACCCTCCTGCAAATCCACCCGCATTTCCCTTCAAAATGTCCGATCCCTTTCAAATAAAGCCCTCACCATCCACGACTTCATCCTGGACGAGCACCTTGATAATCTTGGGCTCACCAAAACCTGGCTCTTCCCCCAATGACTCCGACCCCCTAGTGGAGCCTCCCCTCCAGGCTACACCTTCCACCACATCCACCGTCCAAACCAACGTGGCGGCGGGGTGGCCTTCATTTCCAAAGCCTCCCTTGGTCACACCCCCTACTCCTCTGACTGCTTCCCCTCCTTCGAGCACCTCACCCTTTTCCACCCTTCTCTCCCTTTAAAAATCCTCCTTGTTTACTGCCCCCCTAAGCCCCCGGCTCCTTCCACACAGACATCTCTAATCTCCTCTCTTCCCTGTCCCTCTGCTCTGAGCGCCTACTGATAATGGGCGATTTCAACCTCCACCTAAACTCCCCCAGCACCACTTCTGCCGATTTCACTGCTCTCCTCCCTAAACCTCACCCTCCATATAAATTCACCGACCCACAACTGTGATCATGCACTTGACCTCATCATCACCCATGGCCTTGATATTTCCGACCTCAGTATAGTGGACAAGGCCATCTCGGACCACTTTTTCATCTCCTTCTCCTCTCACATCCCTCTCTCCTCCACCAAGCCCTCAACCATCGCCTTTGGAAAAGGCTACCCCCTGAGACCCTCACAAAGGCCCTCTCATCATCAAACATCCTATCCGTCTGGCCTTCCACCCGCAGAGATCCTGAAACAGCTGTCCAGCTGCTCCATGATCGCCTCCTCCACTTTCAACTCCTTCGTCCCCCTAAAATCCAGGACCATTTCCAAACCCACCTGATCCCCCGGTACAACAACCATCTCCGACGCTAAAAAACCCAAACCCGTCTGCTCAAGTGCAGATGTCAGAAAACTGGCCTGACAGTTCACCGCCAACTGTGGCTCGAGCATCTCCACAGCTGCTGCCGTTCTTTGACACATGTAAAAATGGCCTTCTACTCCAACATCATCTTGGAGCTAAACACAACCCCAAAATTCTTTTCCACCACCCACTACCTCCTCTGTGCCCCCCTCAGGCCTCCTCAATCTTTGTATCAAATGCCAAGTGCGAGGAGGTCATGGACTTTTTTTCAACTAAAATACTGAACATTCGCCAGGCAGCCTCATCCACCTGCCCCTTGTCACCCTCCACCACACCCTCTCTGTCCCCCTCACCCTCCTCATCATCTGCTCCTACCACCACCCTCTTTCTACACTTTTTCCTCCCCATCTCTCCCTCCTCCCTCTCACCCACGTCACCTCCATGAAACCCACCACCTGCCTCCTCGACCCTCTCTCCACCAACTTACTGGTCACACAGCTCCCCCTCCTTTGCCCACTATCGGCTGACAATATCAACCAGTCCCTCTCCTCCGGATCAGTCCCTGCCTCCCTCAAAACTGCTGTCATTATCCCCCTCCTGAAAAAACCTTCCCTAGATCCCTCAAACCCCAGCCATTACCGCCCTATTTCTAACCTGCCCTTCCTCTCAAAAGTTCTAGAACGCGTTGTTGCAAATCAACTCCGCGCTCACCTCTCCTCCCACTCCCTCTTCGAACCCCTCCCGTCCGGTTTCCACTCTGCCAACAGTACAGAAAGTCACAAACGCATCCTCTCTATCTGTGACCAGGGCTCCCTCTGCCTCCTTGTCCTCCTGGACCTCTCCGCCACGTTCGACATAGTCGATCATGCCATCCTCCTCCACCGCCTTTCCTCTAGCATCCACCTCAGTGGGACCGCACTCGCCTGGTTCGAGTTCTACCTCACAAACCACCAGCAGTACATCTGCATAAACGGCTTCTCCTGCTCTCACCTGGTTTCCTGCGGGGTATCCCAGGGATCCATCCTTGGCCCCCTCCTCTTTCTGATCTACATGCTCCCTCTTGGGGATGTCATCTGCAGACATGGCGTACATTTCCACATGTATGCAGATAACACCCAACTCTACTTTTCCACCTCTCTTTGTGACCCCCAGTCCCCTGATGTTCTGTCAGTCTGCCTGTCAGATCTCAGGGGCTGGTTGAGCGCAAACTTCCTTCAGCTGAACGTTGACAAGACGGAAGCCATACTCTTCGGCTCTCGTCAACGTCTAAAATCTCAAGGTTCTCACTTCCTCCACCTACCCGACCTCCCCCTAAAACTCTCCGAACCTGTACGCAACCTCGGCGTCAGGTTCAACCCCCAATTATCCTTCCTCCCCCACATCCGGTCCCTCACCAGCACCGCTTTCTTCCACCTCCGACGCATCGCCCGTCTCCGCCAATACCTCTCTCCAAAAGCCGCTGAAACTTTGGTTCATGCCTTTGTCACCTCCCGACTGGACTATTCAAACACCCTCCTCGCCGGTCTCTCATTCACTACCATCCATAAAATCTGACTCATTCAGAACTCTGCCGCCCACATTCTCACCCGCACGAAACTCCGCTCCCCGATCACCCCAGTCCTTGCCAGACTGCACTGGCTGCCTATTCCAGAGAGAATCGACTTCTCGTATTCAAGTCCCTGCACTCCTCTGCACCCCCCCTACCTCTCTGACCTCCTCTCTCCTGAAACAGTGCCCGTTGCCTTCGTTCCTCCGGGTCTGGCCTCCTCCTTGTCCCCCGAGTCCTCCGCTCCATCCTCGGCGGCCGTGCCTTCAGCCACTATGCCCCGAGGCTCTGGAACTGCCTTCCTCACTCCCTTCGTCTCGCTCCCTCCCTTCCCATTTTCAGGTCTCTGCTGAAGACCGTTCTTTTCGACCGCGCCTTTGGTCACCTTCCCACCCCTCCCCCTGGCTCGGCCCCGGGATCCTAAACTGTCAAGCTCTCTGAGATGCCGTCCGGCGTGGAAGGCGCTATATAAATCCAAGTTGTTGTTGTTATTGAAGGGCTTCCTTCGCTGTCATCAGAATTAGAATTTAAGAAAATCA